AACAAATCCGTCTTGGAGGAAGTACAGCCAGAATGATCCATAGAAGCAAGGGTGGTAAGATTCTCATGTACTTTGAATGTGTTCTCAGGAGGGACCAGTCACTGGAGAAGGAGACATCATGGTTGGTAATGTAAAGGGCCAGTGAAAAAGAGGAAAACTCTCAATGAGATGGATTGACGCAGTGGCTGCAACAATGGGCTCAAACATGGCAACTGTTTTAAGGATGGTGCCGGAGCAGGCAGTGTTTTGTTGTTGTGCAGAGGGATGGTATGAGTCAGAACCCACTGGAAGCCACCTAACAACAACAGAAGAGGGGCCTCACACAGGCTTCAGAACAAGCCACTCCCATCAGCTCAGTGCTGTTCCAACAGAGGCCGTCATTTGTTCACAGTGAGGCCACATCTGATTTCCTCTTGCCTTCTTGGGGCACACATGACCTCACTATGCTGCCCTGTCTCCACTTCTCTGCCAGGCACATGGCTCTTGGCTGGCCAGGGGCAGATTTCTCAGCAAGTGAAGTAAGCATGGGCTTACCTGTGCTTACTTAATCTGTAGTGAACAGTTTCATGTTGGTTTTCACCAGTGTTCACCAATGTTGTAGTGAACATTGGTGAAAAACAATGTGAAACTGTTCACTACCGATTAGTAACTAAGCACAAGTAAGCCCCATGCTTAACTTGTTTATTGGGTATCCTGTCCCTATCAAAACACAAAAAAACCAAACTCACTGACGTCAAGTCAATTTCAACTCAGAGCACCCCTCCTTGGATTTCCGAGGCGATATCACTACGGAAGTAGATTGTCCAACCTTCCTTGGACTGTAAATTTGCAAAGAGTTTTGATTCTGTAGGAAGGTGTTGTGGGGCTGGGAGAGAGACAGATGCCAGCTATATCTAGAAGCAGAATCTTGGATGTGGTGAAAAAATGTGAAATTATTTATTACAGATTAGTAAGTAAGCACAAGCCAGCCTGTGCTTCCTTTGCTTGTGGGATGATCTGACACTGCTGCTGGCCAGTACCCTGGACCCTCAGGGATCCAGCTCTGTAGAGCTGTCCATGCAGAAAAGAGTGACTCACTCTCTCCCTTTGTGTCTGCTCAGAGTCTCCCCAAAGGCCTGAGCTGCAGTGAGCTGCACTGTTTATGGAACATATTTCAGTTGTACTTGTAGTTCCTATGATTATCATGGAGTTTGAGCATGAGTATAAGGAGGGCTGGGCTGGGCGACAATCAAATAACAGACGCCAAGTTGAACTTACAAATCAGTAACTGGGACAAAGGAATCATGCCTCATGTTTCCTCCCTGAGGATAAGTTCTCTTTCCAAAGCATAAACAGCCTCCTGGCAGGTATTCGCCAATAAGGCAATCTGACCTTTCGCCAAATTATATCTGAAATGGAGTAGAGGACACAGCTCAGGTTATTTTTCAGGGGGCTCCAGCCCTCATAACTAAATGAGCATTTGCTTCATTGAATGCAGCCCTGAAACAATGCAAAACATTAACAAGTTATGAAAGAGCTATGCTTTTTGTGTTGGGATAGACCTTTTCCTAAATTACATGCAGTGAGCACGCAAAGCATCAGGCAATTGCAAAAACCCAGAAATTGAGATAGAATTATATAAACAAAGCTAACATTATTTTGGCTTCACAACACTGAATAATATTTTTTGAGGGTTCAACACTCTATTTATGCTTAAGTATTTCCTCAAATAAACTTTCTGAAGAATGTTCACTCATTTTGTTCTAAGAGAGTTTAAAGAAAAAGGAAACTGCCATCAAATCGGTCCCGATTCATAACGACACCTCCTTGGGCTTCCGAGGTGGTATCACTATGGAAGTAGATTGCCCAATCTTCCTTCTGAGGAGTGGCTGGTAGGTTTGAACCACCAGCCTTCTGGTTAGCAGTCAAGTGCCTTAGGCACTATGCCAGGACTTGCTCAAAACGGACAAAGCCTTCAGAAAAACATTGGTGCCCATCCCAGCCTATCATATTTCAAGAAAAAAAAACCCAAACTCACTGACATCGAGTAGGATCTGACTTGGAGCAACCCCTCCTTGGGTTTCTGAGGCAGTATTTCTACGGAAGTAGATTGCCCAACCTTCCTTCCGAGGAGTGGCTGGTGGGTTTGAACTGGCAGCCTTCTGGTTAGCAGTCAAGTGCCTTAGGCACTACGCCTCCAGGGCTTTAGTATAACCAAGCAGGGGTGGAAAGAGCTGCACACAAAGAAACTTGCAACCTTGGGACCTGGAGCATTAATCAGTGGCTAACTGCTAACTGAGCCCTAAATTATGATCCATGGGGATTCCTTACCACAACCTGCTGATCGAAGGACCTAATCAGGAAAAGCAAACCTCCTATAGCTACAGGAAAACAAATTCATTTCTTTGGGGTTAGCAGGGGGCAGTTGGTTTTAAAATGCTTTACTATTACTGTTTTTATCTTCAAAATGCGAATAGCTTTGATATATTTTCGATTAAAGTAATGCCTATTATTTGTGTTTTTTAAAAAAAGAAGTAAAGAGCCCAAGTTACAAAGAAAACATTTAAAATCACTTATAACCCCTCTACTCAAAGGTCACTACTATTAAGGTATTGGTATGACTCTTTTATGGAAGCTCTGGTGGCATAGTGCCTAAGGCATTTGACTGCTAACCAGAAAGCTGGCAGTTCAAACCCACCAGCCACTCCTTGGAAGGAAGATGGGGCAATCTACTTCCGTAGTGATACTGCCCCGGAAACCCAAGGAGGGGTTGCTATGAATCACAATCGACTTGATGGCAGTGAGTTTGGTTTGGTTTCATAGCTTTTTTACAGATTTTTACTCAAGTAATTCTTCTAAAAGTATATGTTCACTTGCAACGTAACTAAAATTACTTATTTTCCAAATAGATATAATGTGATTTTCCCATATATTTGATCTTTTTGGAACTGTTGTGATCGTTATTTTTATTGCATTATCTTATAATGGATCAAAAAATGTGTACTTAATGCATTTAAGGGAGCTCTGGTAGTGTAGGTGGTATAGTGCCTAAGGTGTTTGACTGCTAACCAGAAGGCTGGCAGTTCAAAGCCACCAACCACTTCTTGGAAGGAAGATTGGGCAATCTACTTCCATAGTGATAACACCTCGGAAGCCCAAAGAGGTGTCGCTATGAATCGGGACCGACTTGATGGCGGTGAGTTTGGTTTTTTTGGTAAAGCATTGTAAAAATCAAACCCATTACCATTGAGTCAATTACAACACAAATGACTATATAGGATGTTATCAGTAGGGATCAGTCCCTGGAGAAAAATACCATGATAAGTCAGGGAAGAAGAGAAAGACTCAACAAGATGGACAAGGTGGCTGCAACAGGAGCTCAAATTTAGCAACGGTTGTGAGGATGGCATGGACCTGCCAGAATTTCGTTCTGCTGTACACAGGGTAGCTGTGTGTAGTAATCAACTTGCTGGTACCTTACAAGAACAAAACAGCTTCATAGGGTTTCCAAGGTGTAATCTTTATGGAAGCAGACTGCCACATCTTTCTCCTACACGGTGGCTGTGTATTTGAACTGTGGCCCTTTTAGTTAGCAGCGAAGCACTTAACTACTGTGGCACCAGGACTCCTTAAAGCATTATAAAACATTCAAAAAACATAAAAAGAAAATCCATGTGAGCTAGTGTTGCTTTCATTAATCATGGCTTGTGTCAAAATATCAACAGAAAAAAATGACTTATAATTGCATTAAAATGATGGAGTCGATTATTTGTTATTAATGTAGATCACCAAACCTTTGTAAAGACACCCAAACATCTTTGCCATATTCTCTCTTCTTCCTCTTGTTCCCTACCCTTCAATTCTCTTCCCAAACTCTCTCTTGGACCCCACCTGCCTTCCCTATCACTGTTGCATGATTAAGGCTGACCATTATAAAATGTGATTTACACAATGTTTAGTAAAAAAATCAACACAGATTTTAGATATAGCCTTTTCCTGTGTGTGTGTGTCCATAAAATACCTACACATGTGTTTGTGTGTCCATAAAATACCTATGCATGGAATCAGAAAGAAACTAATAATATGAGGAAGGAATTGAGCGACTAGTGGAATGAGGCATTATTGCAGGTAGAGCAGAGATAGGAAGAAAACATTTTATTTTATACTATTTATGCTTTATGAATTTTGAATCCAGTGAATATATTGCCTATTCAAAACATTTTAAAACATAAAACAGATCTGCACCCACATAAACAGATACAAAGCTGTGAACTCACTAGGGTGTAGTATGGAGTCCCTGAGTGATGCAGTTAACAGCCAGTTGCTAACTGATAAATTGGAGCAATGCCTAGGAAGAAAGACCTGGCAGTCTCCTTCTGAAAAGGCGGCCATTGAAAACCCTGTGGAGCGCAGTTCTACTTTGACACACATGGGGTCTCTATGAGTCAGAATCACCTCCGTGGCAACTGGTAGTACACTGTATGCACCTTCAGATTCAGTAACTTCCTAAGTGCCCGGAGAAATGAAACCCCTAACTGCACCAAGGACAGCCACTGGATCTGCATGAATTGTTTTTGCTTGTTCTCTGAAAATGGTTTTAGTTGCCATCCTATATCAAGGTGCCATGATAGGCTTAGAGTTACCATGGTTGAATCAGTGGCCCTGCAAAGGCACACTGGGTCTTCTCTAGTGCGGTGCTATGTCAAAGTACATGTGGGCATTCGGTCTAAATCACAGACACACACGCACACAGCAGTGTGGCACAAATTCTGAACCTGTTCCTTCGTTTCACTGGAGCAGGCACCCCAAGATGAGAAAAGTGGATAAACTCAAATTACAGCCATGTTCCTTTTGAGGCATAAGTTCACCTAGTTCTTAGTTATATAAACCATTTCATTTGCCCTTTTGGGGACATCTGTGACTGAGATCACGTGCAAGTGTTGAGAGATAGTTATATTGCTCTACACAGGGTTTAAACGTTCTTGATTTTACCTTACTGATTTTTCACTCTTTATTTGCAGGTAGTGAAATCAAAGTTTTCCGAAGAATATCCCTTTATTAAAATGAAGCAATCAAGGAACCATATTGTGGGAAAGTATTTCAGCAATCAAAACAAACTTCAACAACTACAAGGCTCTGTAACAAACTTTCAATCTCCATATCACGTCAGAGGTCCCATTAATCAGGTTTGTTCTGAGATCCTTCTCAGCAGGATGTGTGCGAGTAAAAGGACTGTGTAGATGCCCTGGAGGAGAACTGACTCAGGAGCTGGAGACGGGACAACCAGCCGGATGCTGGTCTGGGAACCACATCTTGTACATCACATGTATTTCAGATTGACCGTGCACACACACACCATCACACACGCACACACCTGTACACAAAACTTTCAAAAATAAATCCACTTTTTTTTTCTTTCCACAGCTTTATAAAGTCAAGGTGTGCACCTAAAAATTAGTTGGTTTCAGACTGAAAGACAGAGCCAGAAAATGGTTACTTGAAGTATAATCATAAAGTAAGATCACTGTGGGCCAGGTATTATTACATTGAGATAGTAGAGAGAAATCTAGATACTTGAAATATGTGGGGGGAGAAAAAAGAGGACAATGCTCTTGAGTTTGGGTTATCTCCTCTATAGGTTCATTGATAATAAAAGGAGAAAAAAAGCAATTACATTCCATTTGCAGGTGGAGATTGCACTGTGTCCTATAGCAGGAGAAAATGTGGTGTTTACAATGGCTTTGGCTTTGTGAATCTAATGCTCACCAAAAACATGTCTTCCCATGCTTCTCCAATTTGATCATTGAAAGGCAAAGAACAAGAATTTTTTACAAGGGAATTCAGAGAGATTCTATGAGAGGAAAAAAAAAGAAACTTACTGCCATCAAGTTGATTCTGACTCATCATGATCCCCTTTGGGTTTCCGAGATGGCAAATCTTTACCGAAGTATATTGCCCAGTCTTCCTTCCACGGAGTGGCTGGTGGGTTTGAACCAGGGACTGGTTAGCAGTCAGATGCCTTATGTATTAAGCCACCAAAGCTCTTTCCGTGAGAGAAACAGGGAGTGAGATATTTTACAATTGAAACACCAATATATTTATTTTCTCACTCCCTGTGTTTTTCATAAACATTCCCCCCCATCCAGTCTGTGAACATGGATGGGTTACTTCAGTCTAAATTGATTAAATGCCCAATTTTTAAGTGAGGAAAAAAATATAGTTCCTCATTTATTACTTTATTACGTTTCATTGATGATACTACCTAAGAAATCTTTTGTTTGCCATTACAGCCCTATGTAAATTAAGATTACAATTACATTTTATGTAAATATTTTGCAGAGATCAGGCCTATTTTCCACAAACCATTTGTTTATGGCATAAATAGTACTATGTTACTTGTTGTTGTTGTTGTTATGTGCCGTCGAGTCAGACCCGACTCATAGGGATACCTCCTTGGGTTTCCAAGGCAGTATTACTACGGAAGTAGATTGCCCAACCTTCCTTCCAAGGAGTGGCTGGTGTGTTTGAACTGCCAGCCTTCTGGTTAGCAGTCAAGTGCCTTACGCACTACACTACCAGAGCTCCACTATGTTACTAGTAACTGTATTTTTATTTTCCTGGGCAGTTTGAACAATTATACCTAATACAAATTTAGAATAGGCATCAAATTATTTCTTACTAAATCTGTGGCATATATATAAAACATAACTAATTCTAGTAATGAGAACTTTGTCTTCTATATCTTAAGTTAAAAATGACAATTTCCTTAGTGTGTACAAAAGCCCTGTTGTGAGATAACACCTCACAGTTACAATGGTTTTTTAAAAAGATAATTTTTCTTTGGGGGAAATAAAAAAGGCTGAGAGAGTTAATTCCATACGTGGCTGAAATTACCGAATCACAAATACCTCAATTCCATTGCAGTTGTTGTTGGGTACCCTCAGGTCAGTTCCTGCTCACACTGTCCTTGTGTACAACAGAAGGACACTCTGCCCGGCCCTCACAATTGTTTCTGTGTTTTAGGCTGTTGTTGCAGCTGCTGTGTCAATCTGTCTGGTTGAGGATCTTCCTCTTTTTCATTGGTCCTTTCTCCAGGGACCGGTCCTTCCCAATAACATATCCAAAATACATGGACGAGGTCTCACCGTTCTGGCTTCTAAGGAGCATTCTGCCTATATTTCCTCCAAGACAGATGTGTTCATTCTTCTGGCTGTCCATGGTATATTCAATATCCTTTACCAACACCATAATTCAAATGCATCAATTCTTCTGAAGTCTTCCTTATTCATTGTCCAGCTTTCGCATGCATGAGTTGATTGAAAATACCATGGATTGGGTCAGGCACACATTAGACCTCACAGTGACACTTTAGCTCTTTAACACTTTAGAGGGAGGTCTTTTGCAGCAGATTTGCCCAATGCAGTATGTCCTTTGATTTCTTGCCTGCTGCTTCCATGGACATTGATTGTGGATCCAAGTGAAGTGAAATCCTTTACACTTCACTATTCTCTCCATTTATCATCATGTTGCTTATTGGTCCAGCTGTGAGGACTTTTGTTTTCTTTATGTTGAGGTATAATCTGTACTGAAGGCTGTAGTCTTTGATCTTCATCAGTAAGTGCTTCAAGTCCTCTTGGCTTTCAGCAAACAAGGTTGAGTCATTTGAATAGCAAAGATTGTTAATGAGACTTCCTCTAATCTTGATGCTGTCATGGGTGACCCAGCTGGTATTTGACATACCAGTGGCATAGCTTCCAGCTTCACAAAACACCACAGGATGACAAACTGGGCAAGTGATGGTCAATGCCATTACCATACAGAAAACAAAACTATTTTGATTGATCAGTTTCTTAGTATAAGTATCAGCCTTCTTTAAATACTCTATTTTTATATATATTTTTATATGAAGACAAATATGAATTTATATTTAACTGTCTTAAATTATATTTAAACACAAATGTCACTTGATGTAAACAATACACATTTGCATCTTACAGATGATAGATTTTTTTTTTAAGAACAAATGGTACAGAATTAGTTAAAAATGAAAGATTTTTGTAGTAACTGCAGATATATGCAAACATCATTTTTGGGTTTTCAGTGATTTAAAGAAGAATGTTATGAAATGTTGCCAACTTGTGCAGCCTCTCCACAATGTTTTAATATATTATCTGTAGCAGTATTACATTGAATGGATGTTTTGCGTCATTTCCTATGTCAATCTAACTGTATAAATCTTCTGACTGAGGTTAGTCTGGTATTTACCTCTTCGCTGTTGAAATAATAGTGGATTTTGGAAACAATTGTAATAATAATATTAATAAATGTCTTACTATTGCCTGGGTGAGAGGGCATCTTTTATTTCCCTTTTTACTGGAGGTACACAACCATACATAATGATCACTTGGCAGGGATATTACCATATGGATTTAAGTAGAGGAGTATGGTTAAATAGGATTTACTTTATCATTCCACCCTGCTATTCTCCAAGTTTATGATCAGATGACCTCCCTGCTATACGAGAGCCAAAGCTTGGTGGTGTAGTGCTTAAGGCATTTGACAGTTAACCAGAAGGTTGGCGATTTAACCCACCAGCCACTCCATGGAAGAAAGACTGGGCAATTGACTTCCTTAAAGATTTACCACCTCAGAAACCCAAAGTGGGTCACTTTGAGTCGGAATCGACTTGATGGCAGTGAGTTTGTTGGGTTTTTTTTTTTTGGTTTTTATTTATTCAAAACATAATAGTGCATTATAGTGATAATTTTTTTTTAAGGTAAGGCACTGATATGGTGGGGATCTTTTAAATTCTTAACCAAAGTAACTAAGCTTATTTGTTTTTTTACTTGCAGAAATTGGTGTTGTGTGTGTTCACAAGTTCATAATTCGAGTGAAAGAAAAACCTAAGTGTGCATTTTGACCTGTTTTTACATGTTAAAGCAAAGGGAGTGTAGTGCTATGGGTAAGAATTGATCAGTATCTCATGCAAACTAAATTAAACTAAAGAAAACATAATATTAAAGTTTAAGAATAACTGCATAAACATTTCCCGGCATCACTGTTGACATTTTATGTGCCTGTGTGTATGTGTGTGAATGCATGTGTGTGTCTGGCCCTGTTCTTAAAGGTACAGTGAGATATATGCCAGCCACACAAATATGCAAGTAAGATCCTCTGGGGCTTAGGAGATGGTGCTGGTGGTTCAATGGCAGAGTTCTCACCAACGCACCTCCTGAGCAGACACCACCCGTCTGTCAGTGGAAGCGTGCCTGTTGCTATGATGCCGACAGCTTTCAGACTAAGGAAGACTGTGGGTAGACATGTGGATCTACTTGTAGACATCAGGCAAGAAAACCCTGTGGATTCCACAGTTCCAATCCACAACCCATCATGAGGATGCCCAGGACCACTCTGTTGTTTCTCAGGAGTAGAGTTCTGATTGGATAGCAGTTGAGATCAACAATACCAACATGGGCATATGAAAAAGAAGAGCTCACCATTGCCTGCTAATCAGGTTCACATCTAGGTCCCAGATTCCTTGTGTCCATTGCTCATATGTCTAGCAATCTTCCCTCTAGAGCAGTGATTTCCACTTAGAAAACATTGGGGAAAAAAAATAATTTTGGAGATAGAAATAGCCCTGGTAATGTTTGTGGAAAAGAAATACTGCTGTACTTCATCCCCCCCAAAAAAATTCTTTAAATTCCATTTCACCAAAGGATTCCAAGAAGAATTACAGGAACAGGTCAAAAGGTACGTAACCGAGTAAGAGTGGTAATGCTTTGTGGGGAGAGGATGGATAATTGAGTTATAAGATTAAGTGCCTGGATAGATCATCAGGATTAGAATCTTATTAATATTATCATAAGGGCTACTTAAATTGAGCAAATGTTGAAATAAATATTCATATCTAAGATTTCTCTCTGTGAATATTTATTTTATAAAAACAACACAAATAAAAATGTCCTCAAAATCAGTGGCTAGGATTATTGTATTTAAAAGGAGAAAACATCACTTTGAGTAAATTCCTATGAAACTGATGGCTTCAAATAACATGTATTCAAGTACGAAATAATCCTACCACAGAGGCTGCCATTTTGAATGGGTCAAGGAGTAACTGCTCTGCAAATGCTACTGTCTTTAAAAAAAAAAAAAAAAAAAAATGCTTATTTGAAGTTCAAGTGGCTTTGATTGCTCTTGGAAATGAAGGCATTTTGATGGATCATTTCAGCTTAAGGGG